TTTGGTGCGCGACTTTTTGGGTGCCGCGGGGGGTCCAAACCTGGGCGCGCAAGCAGCTCCTGCTGCTTCGTTTTCAGCCATCTGGGGACCCATCTGTGCCCGCACCAAAGGTCACTCCGGCGAAAGGTCACTCTTACGTCTAGTCGACCCAGGAGCAGCGCGCCTCGCGCGGGGCGGCTGCCATGCGCGCCGGCCGCTTCGCCTCGCTCTGCCCAAGCGAGCGGCGGGCCAGCCGCGCCCCACGAGCCTCTTCCGGCCGGCGCCATGGCGACCGGCCGAGGCCGGGCCTGCGCGCCGCTGTGCGCAGGCTCGGCTTCGCGGCCCGGGTTGGCCGCCGGCCGCTCATGAGCGACGTGGCCAATCTGGCTCGAGTGGCTGCTCGCACCGATCGCGATCCTCGGCCTCCGGATGTGGCTCGCGGAGCTCCTGTACCCATGCGGCCCGTGCAGGGCGCTGAGGCGAAGGGGGCCACTTGGTGCTGGCTGCCAGAGGCGCTGCCGCCCCCGGCTTCCCCCGCGCCGGTATTGTGGCCTCCGGTCGCCTGCTGCATCGGAGGCTCCGGCCAGGCTGCGACGTCGTGGAGTTCTTGGTGCTCTACATGCAAGTAGTCCAGATGGTACTGTGCCTCGGGTGGAGCCCATGCTGACGGCGATTAGCGCCGTGGCTGCTGCGGTAGCCGGCCGGGCGCCATGTGTTCCGCTGTCTTTCTCGCCGCGTGTCTCGGCCTTGCAGTGGCCGGTCTGCGTGCCGCCGCCGCCGCCTGCACACGACGTTCGCCAGCCTGGACCGCCAGCTGCTTCGGGCGCCCGTGATCGTGATCTACGCCATGCCGCACGGTTCCCTGCAGGTGCTGCTGCCCCGGAGGCGCTTGCGGCTGCCTCCTCGTCCGACCTGCTCCCGGACGCGCCCATGCTGAAGGAGACTGCGGCCGCCGCTGCTGGCGCAGCTGTGGCCATGGCCGCGGCCTTGGACCGTGTCGCTCCTGATCCTGTGCATGTTGACGCCGATGTTCGTGCCCGAGACCGTGATGCCGCGGCTGGTGCTCTGGCTGATGGGCGGGATGGCCGCACAGCGGAGGTGGGCAAACCCCTCCCACCCAGCGTCCCCTGTCGGGGCCCGGAGAGGCGGCGAAGCAGCCTACAGGCCCCACCCCGCTTCCAGCTGCGAGTGCAGAGGTGGACACCCAGCGTCCCCTCTCGGGGCCAGGGGGAGGCGGCGGGGACCATCGAGGCGTCCACCGGGCTGCGCCAAGGTGAAGTTACCGACGCTGTGTGTCCCCTGGCCGCGCTTCCAGTTGCGTTTCCTGCTGCTGCTCGTGTTCCTCCACATGGTGTTGCGCGTGCGCCGCTGCTAAAGGGATGGAAATGGGCATGCCCAGGGAATATTTGGGATCATTCTGCTGACAGATCTTTGGGTTATTTTTCGGATCACATGAATCGGCTTGTGGATGACTTCATTTTCCGCATGCACGTGCGCAGATGGGTGCGGCCAGGGCCGTTGCCTGAGCCGCCACCCGCTATGCAGTCACCAGTCGATATTGACGAGATTCTTGCCCAGCGCATCGTTGCGAGCACCTTCCCTCGGAGATGAAGCAGAAGCTCGTCGTCATGTTGGAGTCGCACGTCGTTCCCTCGCGGCGCTGGGTGGACTGGCCTTCTTGTGCAGCGCCGGCCGCTCCTGTGCCCCGTCTGCGCGGGACTCCCCACCCCTGTGAGCCGTGCAACTTAGCTGCCTGCCGCGAAAGTGCCTGCCGCGAAGGTGCCTCGAGGTCGCAACGTGAAGTATGGGATGGAGGATCACAGGGAGGAGTTAGGGTGAGGTGGGACGAGGAGCGGCACGGCGTCCTAGTTACCTGATGCCTGATTGCAAATCCCACCAGCCCTCTGGGCGTAGGTGGTCTAGAGCAGATCCTCTTCCACCCCTCCCTCTTCCCCCTTGGGGAGGGGTTTACCCCTCCCCCTACCCCCTCCCCTGGACCTGGACGGGGGGGGCCGCGGGTAGTTAGAGCGTCCAAGATGGCCCAAGACGGCTCCAAGAGCGCCTCAGAGAACCCAAGATGAGCTCCAAGATGGCTCAAGATAGCGCAAGATCGCTCACGATGGCTCCTAAGATGGTTCCAAGAAGCCCAAAGACGGCCCCAAGATAACTCCAAGTGGCCAAACAGCTCCCCAAGGAGGCCCCGAAGAGGCCAAAATCGTCCCAAAACCTAAGGAAAATCAATGATTTTTGCTTTCTCGCCTTTTCGCTTCCGATGGCTATCCGAGGCCTGGAGATGGCTCCAAGATGGCCCAAGAGGGCCCCAAGAGAGCCCCAAAAGAGCCCCAAGACGGCCCCAAGAGCGCCCAAGAGCACTCCAAGAGCGTTCCAAGAGGGGTCCAAGAGGCGATTTTAGGGGCTTCCGAGGGGGGGCGCTAATTAAACCCCCCCTCTTGTTTGATCGACTCCCTCCAAGATGGCCCCAAAAGCGCCCCGAAGGCTCCCCAGAGCGCCTCAAGAGGGTCCCAAGAGGCGCCCAAGATGCCCCAAGGCGCCCAAAAAGCCCTCCAAGAGGCCCTCAAAAGACCCCCAAGAAGCTCCTTCCCCTCCTCCTCCTCCTCCTCCGATTCTTCCTCCTTCTCCGTCCTCCTCCTCCTCCTCCTCCTCCTCCTCTTCCCCCTCCTCCTCCTCCTCCTCCTCCGACGACGACGACGACGACGACGACTCCTCTTCCATCCTCCCCCTCTCGGGGTCTGTGACAGCTTCCCCCGCCCTTTGTTATTCTGCATGCTCCCCGACTTCCCTGATCACCTCAACTCCCCTGAGCATCGTTTCTGGATGGGCTGGTGGGGATACGCGAAGCGTCAACAATTTAGGCATCGTCGTCAGTCCTGGCCCGCTAGCCTCTCTATCACGCCATCTGTCGTCGTCGTCGTCGCGCCCGCGGCCAGGCAGCTGTCCTTCTGTCCGCCTGGCACGTGAGAGTTCGCTGTGCGCTGGCACGGTTTGACACTAGATCCTGAGAGCAGGAGGATGTAAGCCTGCGTCCCAGCCTCACTACTTCGTGCTCTACCCCTCCCTCCCCCCCCCCTCCGAACGACCGAATGCCCCCCTACGGCCCAGCTGCTTGATTGGAGGTCGGGGGGGCAGTGGGAGGATCGGTGTGGGAATGGAGTTGGAATTCCTTGATACGTAGTCGTCACTTTTTGGCTACTACATGCAGAAGATGGGGGCTGCCAGTCAGATGCGTCCCAGCCTTGATCCCGTTCGTTTTCTGCTGCTCCGAGATTGGAGGTTTGGGATATGCGTCCCAGTCTCGCTCTCTCTCTTCTCGGTTGCATCTACCAGCATCCCCTCTGTGCCTGCCTACCCGAAATTGTGCAGCCAGTATTTACAACGGGCACAGCGCTCTGGAGGTGATCGGTATGCGTCCCAGCCTTTTTCCCTTCCGCTCGTTGCTGCCATCCTTCCGAGACTGGAGGTTTGACATGCGCGCCCCAATCCCACTCTTCCGTCTCGGCTTTATATTTATATGATTTCCCTCCCTCCCTCCCTCCCTTCCCCCTCCCGAGTGGCCAAGAGCCACGACGCGGTCGTCTCGTCGTTTCTTTGTTCGACCCGATGCCGGCCACTTGATTTGAGAGAAGAGTGGTTCGGGCGGACGCCGATGGGTAGGACTGAGGGTGGAGTTTAGGTCTGATGGTGGGGACGAGGGTTGCACTGCGGCGTTGGCGCAGGCACGGGCCGCAGGTCGAGCGTGCGAATATCCTGCACTCCCGCTGGCCCCTGCCTCGCACCAGCCCGCTAAGGTGGCTTTCGACCCTTCGCAGGCCATCTCACCTGCTCCCCTCTTTGATATGCCTCCTCTTGCCTCTTCCCTACTCCTGCGGCGTTGGGATGCGCCTTGAGCGCCTTCCGACGATGAGGGGGGGATGGTATGGGATAGGTTGGGCGGAGCATTTACACCTTGGCGCCCCTGTTGCTAGATACCGCGTGTTTCTGCCAGCAGCTAGTGAGTGACGCACCAAGCTGACCGCCCCCTCGGCGAATCAGAGCGCAATTCCAAAATTCCTTCCCTCCCTCCTTCCCTCCTCCATCCTCCTCCTCCTCCTCTTTTATCCACCCTTCTCCTCCTCCTCCTCCTCTTCCTCTTCCTCCTCCCTTCTCCCTCCTCATCCCGACCTCCCTCCCTCGTCGTCGCCGTCCTGGTCGTCGTCGTCGTCGTCGTCGCCGTGGTAGCGCCACTCGTGGCTGCTCACCGTCGTCGTCGTCGTCGTCGTCGTCGTCGTCGTCGTCGTCGTCGTCGTCGTCCGCGTCATCCTCGTCGTCCTGGTCGTCCTCGTCGTCGTCGTCGTGGTAGCGCCCTCGTGGCTGCTCACCGTCGTCGTCGTCGTCGTCGTATTCGTCGTCGTCGTCGTCCCGGTCGTCCTCGTCGTCGTCGTCGTCGTGGTAGCGCCCTCGTGGCCGCTCACCGTAGTCGTCGTCCTCGACCTCGTTCTCGTCGTCCCGGCCGTCCTCGTCGCCGTCGTCGTGGTAGCGCCCTCGTGGCTGCTCACCGTCGTCGTCGTCGTCGGCGTCGTCGTCGTCGCCGTCTTCCTCGTCGTCCTCGTCGTCCTCGTCGTCGTCCTGGTCGTCCTCGTCGTCGTCATGGTAGCGCCCTCGTGACAGCTCACCGTCGTCGTCGTCGTCGTCGTCGTCGTCGTCCTGGCCTCGTCGTCCTGGTCGTCGTTGCCACCGTCGCGGCAGCGCCCTCATGGCGGCTCACCGTCGTCCTCGTCGTCCTGGTCGTCCTCGTCCTCGTCCTTGTCGTCCTGGTCGTCCTCGTCGTCGTCATGGTAGCGCCCTCGTGGCTGCTCACTGTCGTCGTCGTCCTCGTCGTCCTCGTCGTCCTCGTCGTCCTCGTCCTCGTCGTCGTCGTGGTAGCGCCCTCGTGGCTGCTCACCGTCGTCGTCGTCCTCGTCCTCATCCTCGTCCTCGTCCTCCTCGTCGTCCCGCTGCGCAAGCCCGCCGCGGTCGACCCCAAGCCTTTCGCTCCTGGGCACGGGTTGCAGCAAGACGTCCCCGACGTGTACCAAACTCACCTGAACGAGTGTCTGCACTGCGGCTGCGGCCTGCCGCAGCAACGTGCCTCGTACGCGGCCACCTCGCACGACTTGACTGGCAGCAAGCAGGTTACCGTGGTTCCGTGGAGGTGCAACAGCAGCGCGTGCGCGGTGACATACACGCCCAATCTCTTCATCGTGGGGGCGCAGAAAAAGAACACCGCTACGATGGCGGACTTGGAGGCAGCGGGCGCCGTGTTCATTAGCAGCAAGCGTGATTTCACCTTGCGGTACGTGAGGCACTACGAGGCGACGCTCTTCCGCTGCCAGGTGTCTGCTCGCGGCGCTCAGTGGGTGCAAGAGGACACATACGCAGAGGCGGGCGACGACGGGCATGGCAGAGAATGGCCAGTCGATCTGCGGAAATTGTACTCCGACGCGATCATGTACACGCTCGCCGTGCAGGAGCTTGAAACCATGGGCAAGCACCTTGACGTCCTCGTCGGCGACGAGATGTCGCACACTAACATCAAGGTCTACGACGCTTAGCTGCACGACAACATCTTCAAGCCCAAAAGTGCGGGGTCCATTGAGACACTCATCGGCGACGGCCACGAGAAGGTCGCAGCGCGTTGCGGTGGGCAGGCGGTCAGCAAGAAACCAGCGGGTGCCCAGAAGACCGCATCTCGGAAGCCGGCTTCGGGGAGCGTAGTGAAGAGGCGACCCACAGGTGCTTTACCCAAGCCACGGGGGCAGAACACCACATCTCGGAAGCCAGTTGCTGGGGGTGCCGTGAAGAGGCGGCCCGCAAGCGCACTCCCCAACCCAACCGCAAAGACTCGCAAGAGTCACGTCAAGGGGAAAACGACGAAGGGGCGCCCCGCCGCGAGCGACCACACCGTCAAGGGGGCCAAGCGGAAAGGCCCCCGCTGCGCCCATCATGGCAATGGCTGGTTCATGATATGTACACCGTCCGGGCGCGTGGTGAGCGTGGTGGAACAGCGGGACCACGAGAACAATGCCGTGGTGCGGGAGAGCCTCGTAAAGGTGCTTGGCCACAACCCCGCGGTGGACTGCTTCGTCTACGACAGGGCTTGCTCCTTCATGCCTTCCGCGAAATCCATGCCAGAGCTCGCCCAGCAGAAGCACTACGTCGTGGAGAAGTGGCACGCCACCAACCACGTCGACGAGTGCCCCTGCAACCCGCACACGGCCCAACGCCTCGGCAGGAGGGTCAAGGACGTGAACACGCTTGCTTGCGAGCAGGTTTACTCCTGGTTCAGGGGGTACGCTCGCGTGTTCGACGAGCTCTCCCGATCCGCCACCACTTCCTGGTGCTGTACTCCGTCGGGAAGCACAACCACCGCCATGCGAAGGGCAACGCCGACTACCTGCCCGACGCGGGGGCCGTGCGGGCCATGGAGTACAGGCGGCGGGGGCACTATGACTGCGCGTGAGAGCAGTGGGAATACGCCCACGCGCCGCGTTACATCCTGCAAACCCACGTTGTGGATTGTATAGGTGGCGCTATTATCGCCACGACCACACGGCCGCCGATGAAGGAAAAATGATGGCGGGCAAGGGGCTTGGGCGGAGGTGAGCGAAGGAGGAGGAGAGGTAGCGCGGGTCGGGGCAGGCCACACCCTCGATGTGCCATCGTGGCGGTGGGACGGGGGGTGGTGGCGGGTGTCCGGGGGGGGGCGGTGGCGGGGGGGGTCAGAGGAGTGGGGGTATTTGGGGAGCGCTTCTTGGGGGGGGGGGGAGCAACAAAAAAAATGCCAGGGAGGGAGTCTGGCCGATTTTTGTGTTGCTCCCCCCCCAGGCGGCGCCGCGAGCGGTATGGGGGGCGTTCTGGCCTCTCGCCCGTTCCTCCCTCTCCCGCTCCCTCCCTCTCCCCTCCGCCCTACCGCACCGCTCCCGCGCCTTGTTTTTTCTCTCTCTCTCTCTCTCTCTCTCTCTCTCTCTCTCTCTCTCTCTCTCTATGTATATATATATATATGTCACTCTCTCTCTCTTTCTCTTTCTCTCTGGCTCTCTCTATATATCTCTCTCTCTCTTTCTCTCTCTCTCCGACCCTCCCTCCCTCCCTGCCTCTCTTCCGCTCTCTCTCTCTCGATCTACCAGGCCCTCCTTCTCACCTCCACCCGCGCTGCAACGCGCACCTCGGAAGTCAATCGTGCCGCGCGTTGGCCCCCCAGACCGCCACCCCAAAATCCCCCGTTCTCCTGCCAAATGGTGCGTGGCTCGGCCTTCCGTCACTGCAGCGGAGCGGCCCGCCCGATGGGGCTGCTCCCAGCTGCCTGTGTTCTGTCCCGTCGCGCCGCTGTCCGCGTCGAATCTGCGTCGAGTCCATGTCGAACTCGTCGTCTGCGACGAGCCCGCCTCGAATCCACTGCGAAACCAGGTCGAATCCGCCTCGAACCCGCGCCGGGCACAAGAGAAGACATCCATTGCGAGGACAGACAGGGCCTCCCGCAGATGCAACGTAACCACCTCTGCGGGGCTTGGAGGCGGCTGGTGGAGACTCAGAACATCGGTCAGGAGGGGGATGAAGCCCCGCTCAAAATCGTTTCCCAGACCCCTCCAGGGGTCCATCGGGAAGATCGGGTTTCATTCGGTCGGTTTCTTCCTGGAACGCTTCGTGGGTTTTATTCGGTCGGTTTATTCCTGGCATGCTTCGCAGGATGTAGCAATGACGGCTCAAGGGATTAGACCTAGATTCTAGAAGCCCAGAGCGAGGACAGCACACGTAGCGTTGCAGACGCGCCTCTGGAGCGAAGCATCTCAACTCGCGGCTTGCATCGCCGTCGTGACAGTCGCTACCGTCTTGATCATTGCCATTGCGAGTGCTACGAGCACTAAATTCCCATTCTTGCTGTCACTACAGCATTCCGCCCCCCTCCAGGATGAGTCAGCATTGGATCGGAAAGATCGGATCGAATCGAAAAGTGCGTCGGACCTGGCCGCACTGGCATGGAGCAGCAATCGAATCAGACCAGCCGCGCCAGGGTGCACAGCAGCACCCTGCAGGCGCCGGACCCCATCGGATCGCCCGAAAAGGAGGGCAGCGGTAAGGGAACAGCAAGGGGGGACCAGCTCAAGAGGGGAACATCGACCATGAATCGACGATGCATCGCCGATTGATCCGCGACAAGCTCCCGATGGCGAATCCGGACGTTGCCGGGCGGGACGGGCTTATCAGGCCACCACCGGCGATGCATGGGCGATCGGGGGCGACCTATCCTCCCCTCACGTTGCCCCTGAGCATCACGCCGCATAGGATCACTGGAAAGCTGGGACCGACGAGGGCCGAGCCTGGCGGGCTCGAATCCTCCACCAGACAGATCGGATCGGGACATGGGCCCTGCCCTCTCCCTTTTGCCGCTTCAGTCTTCGCCCTCCCGGCCGCCATCCCACTTGACTGTTCTTGCTCCGTCGGGGGTACGACGTGCTGCCCCGGGGAGGGCGAGTAGCGGCGGCCGCGGCATGCACCCGCCAGAACCAGTCCGCGTACGCCAACATGCCCGTGTACACCACAATGCCTGCATGACTCAGCGCACGTGTACACCACAGCGCACTGGCCCTGCATGCACGTCGGTGCTTGCGTGCGCCAAAGCGCCCGCGTACTCCATATAATGTGTTTTGGAAGCTGCAAAGATTCATGCTTGTGGTTGGCTTGCAAGCGTCCCCATTACGGCGGGGAGGAAGGGTGTGGGGCGGGGCAACACGTGTTACCCCCGACCGGACGAACGAGCCATACGCCACCAGGCGCGTGGTCAAAACCATGCGTCTAACCATGCTCGGCGCGAGATCGATGACAAACCGCGGGCAACAACATCATTAGTGACAGGCGGTAGGGGCAGACGAGGAAGAGAAGAGGACCTGGCGACTGCCATGCACACTGCTGCGTGCGTTTAGGGCGACATGGCGCGAAAAGCAAGGAACTATGTTACACGTGATCGCTTGCCCTTCAGGGCGTGAGATCGCGTCTGCAGTTGCTTTCCACTCTGCTGGGCTGTCAAGCATTGCAACAACTGGTCATCGTCAAAGAAATGTGCAAGCAGTAGACGCGCATCAACAGTTTGCCAATGTTTGGGTCACCGAATCATAAACTTGCTTCCGCAGCAGAATCATGAGGCGCAGTGCCCATTGTGTACACCTCTACGCCTATTCGCTTACACGCCTCTGCCTGCTTCGCGGGCGCGCGGCTTACACGCCTCTGCCTGCTTAGCGGGCGCCGCGGTTCCCTGGCGGCGCGGCGCGAGGCTTCCTGCGCGAAACCGTGGAAGTATTATGTGCCGTCTCATCTAAATCTGGCAGATGCGCCCACTCGGCCAACTGAACAGTCCCAGGAGATTTACGAATTGCAGGCGCAAGGTTTCGGTGCATCGACAGGGTTCTCCCATCAGACGCACCCTGGGCTCCTTCAGAATCAGAAGAGCATAGACCGACCGATTATTCAATTCATGCATGCGGATGGGGGGACGCGCATGCGGCACGCGCGCCCAGCTCCGCCTGCTGCTCCGTAGCGCGATGGCTCAGAATGCTCAATTCCATTTCTGATAGTCGGAATAGAACACCCAAGTCATCTGACGCGCCATCGGCCCCAGCATCGGCCAGCCAGTCGGAGTCAACTTCCGCGCAGCCGTCGCGGGCTGCAGCTGGCGAGGAGCCACTGGACGCGGCAGCGCAGTGCGAAGCACTTGCCTGCAATGGATATCAGCGCCATTCTGATCTGAGCGGCCCCTGCGCTGAACATGCCCTGGCCCTCGCGCCTGCTTCTGCCGTCCACGGCAGCGGCTTCATCACAGTGATGCGCCGTCCGCGAATCGGCGTCGCAGGCACGCCGTAGAAGCAGGGACGAAGCGGACGCAGACACATCCTCGGCGGCCCAAAGAGCGAGCGCCACGCCAGGAGCAAACCCAGCTGGCACCGCGGCGACGCGAGAGGGCGCGCTGCACTGATTGTTCTCGGCGAAGCCCGGCACTTTCAAATCGTTCCTGCGTCTGCCGTGCTGACTACTGCGCTGGTCGCCGCTTCCCAACGCAACTGCCACCCAGGGGGCGCACCTCCTGGCTCGCCACGACAGGAGAGACAGAAACCGCGGCTTGAAGGCGTCAGGTGCGACCACCTCAATCTGCACGTTTTGCGGATAGAGTTCGCCGGATGGGGCAAGAGCAATCCGCAGCGTGCTTCGGATGTCCGATTGTGGGGCCAAGCTCCCAAGGCCATTTCAGGACCCGCATGGCCGCCTGCAGAATCTGCACCGAACGCTTTCCGGCCCAAAGGGGGGCCCAGCGACAAGGGGGTGGTGCAACAGATTCGGTGCAATAGATTTGCGGGGTCGCAATACTTTTGGGGCGTGCAATACTTTCCAGGGCGCAAATGCATTGCTGCATTCTCGCGCACAAAACATCGCTTGCAATGCAATGCGCTACACTTCTCTGGCGCAATACATTTGCAATGCACTTGCCCCAAGTCTACTCCACCACCCCCTTTCAGCTGGACCCACTTTTGGGTCGCACGAAGTTTTCGTCGGCTGATTCCGCAGTGGCCATACTTTTCAAAAGGTTACATCACGCACGCGGGGCGTGCCACATCTCTTGAATGCCCCTCTCGGCGCCAGGGCAGCCACGCAAAGATCGGCTCGAGGCGCCGAATAGATAGATCACGCAGGACATTCAGGAAGTAGAAGATACGGGCCACGGTCGAAGAGACCAGGAGAAGTCACGGATGGCGTTGCGCGACGCAGATTACTTTCCCCCGGCAGCATCCTGGGTAAACGCCGTGTTCTGTTCACGTTTTTCAGAGCTGTTGAATATGGGGCGGCCTGCTGTGTCATTTTGATTCAGCGGCGGCGATCGCGGGACATGCGATCCTCTTTGCCTCTCTGCTCACTGGAAGCGATCAAATGTGCTGCGTGAAACAAGGCGCTTCATCTGCCAGCTGAAGGGCGGCGCTGCGCGGCGTCTGTCCGCCGCCCCCCCCTAAGAGCGCGCGACGCAGTCCCTTCCGCGCAAACTCGCTACGCCGACGCCCTCGCTTTTCTGAAATTGTCGGCTGCGGCATCGACTTTGCGAAGTGCGCCCGCGAGGGCGACGCGCGCGCTCAGGCGGGGCTCCGCAGACGCAGCGCTTCAACAAAGAGGGCCCGCTTCGCTGTTCTTCAGCGACGGCTGAAGGGCGCCGCAGCTTTCGGGCGCGCCAGCGCCCAAAACCGGGGAGCGCTGACAGCCGCGGAACGGCTCGTCGACCATTCCGACCCTAGCGACGACGAGCAGCCCCAACCGTTGCATCGCGCGCACAGAAACAAAAAAGGTGCCACGACGTTATACGTCCAGGCGCCGCTGCGAGGCCCGTCGCCCCCCGGCGCAGCGGGGGTCTCAGGGGGTGGGGCCCAGGAAGCCCCAGCCAGACAGCGCCTTTCCACGTTGCCCATGCCGGCGCAGGGGCGATGG